GACATGCCTTTTCGAGAATGTGATGAGGCGTCAATCACTACTCGAACCTTTGTTGTGGCTCGGTCCTCTCTAATGATCGCATGATGTGGCATGTAGTAGCAAAGTGCATTTGGCTGTTCTGATGGCTCTTGGACCTCCTCTGCGACTCCTAATGCGATATACTCTGATATAGCTTTGTCGTAGCGATACAGCATGTCTTCATTTGTCTGCAGCCTTTTAGTCAGTTGCTGTAGTCTTTTTATCGCATTTTCCTTGTTGCTTTCCAAGTTTACGTCCTGTTTCTATGGCAAGCTGACTTGATAGCGACCGTTTTGTTGTACAATCTTGCGCTCTAATTCTTCGACCACTTCATTTCCGGTGTTATCCAAACTATTTCTTGTGATCCCCATTGACTCCAGGCTCCAGAACTTCTGTAGCTCTTGCTGGAGTTCTGTCTCCGCAGCTTTGACCTTCAGAACCATGACTGCTTGATTATGTGTTAGTTTTGTCTTGCTTTGCTCTGACGGCCCTTGCAGGAGCCATCCCAGTATAGTTTCTACAGCCATCAGTCTGTCCTCGATTCTTTGAGTTCTACCAGTAAAGAATTCCCAATAATAGTCTGAGCCGATCAGTAGTTCTACAGAATTTGTTGCAGTCGTCTTGCTCCTGTGATCAGCCACTTGCATATTTAGCAGTTTCATTTTCTCGCTGAGTTTCTTAGTTGGAGTGGGTATACAACTGTGCGAGATGACGTCGACTTGTAACGCTTCAATCACTGTTGTCGTGCTTGTTTCTCGTGATCCTACAGTCACTTGCACCACGTTCATTAGTTTGACCTTTTCGTCTCCTCCAAATGAACCAATCGTCAGCCTTTCCTGTCGCAACACCTTCGCACCTATTTCTTTCGCTAATCCCGCTTCAATAAATGAACGTTGACTTCCGCTGTCTAATAACAAACGCCAATGTCGGCCACATGTTTCTCCTTCTACGCACGCTACAGCCGTCTGCACAAGCACAAACTTATGCTTGATATTTTCGGTTGCTTGTAGCGTAGACGACGTCGCTTCGGCTTGCGCTGTTGAGACCAGCTCTGCCCTTGTTTTCTGCATCACCGTTCTACACACTGACGTGGCATGTCGTCCCTTGCATCGCTTGCATTTTACTTGGGCCTCGCAAATGCGTGCAGTGTGGTTCGGTCGCGTGCATCTGAAGCATGCTCTATTTTCGGTAAGCATAGCTTTCTTTTCATCCATTGGAATGCTCCTACGACAGTTTTCGGTTGCGTGGGTTTTCTGCTTGCAGAATAAGCATATTCTGTCCGCTGAGCTATAGAAGCTTGAAGTTGCGTGCATCTGTCCGCGGTTCTCTCTTGGTTTTGCAGTTATCCTCTCTTGTTCACGTTGTGTTTCTTCACGAAAAGCCGCTTGCTCTCTTAAGAATAACATAAGCCTGTCCAGCTTTTCCTCGCACGCTTTTCCCGTTGCGTTGTTTTGCTCGCCGTTTTCTGAAGCTGAGCTGTTTCTCATAGCCTCTTTTGACTTGAACTGCACTGATAATTCTGGTGGAATTGCTCTTTTCAATACCGGTAACAACATCGGCGCATAGCTCTCGGTTTCCACTTTTAGTGACTTGAGTGCCAGTATGTTAACTTGCACTCTCTGTACTAGCCTATTTAAGTCATCGGTATCTTGAACAGACCTCACTTTCTCCAAATTCAATAGCTCATTCATGTGCATTTCAATGGAATGTTCTCGATTGCCGAACGTTTTTTGCAGTATTTTGATTGCGTTATCATAATTTTCCTCTGCCGAGTACTGAAGTCCTTCAATAGCAGCCGCAGCTTTTCCGGTTAGTGATGCTAACAAGTAATTGAACTTCTGTCCCTTGCTCATGTTCGGTCTTAGGTGAACTGCCGACTCGTACTGAGACCAAAAGCGGTTCCACTCCAAAGTTTTTCCCCCAAACTTTATCATTTCAAGCTTTGGTAGCTTAACTAGTTCCGTTGCTTCTTGTCCTGTACTTGAGGGCGTCACCTGCCTTGTTTTATCCCTTGAATCCGATTGTTCAGGCTGTCGAAGTCTGATTTCTATTGCAGATAAGATCGTCGTTACTTTCATGTCGTACTCTATGACGCTTTCGAATTCAGCTTCGGCATTGTCTTCTGTTAGAAACTTTTCCATTTGCTCGTTCGCGCTCTTGAGACTGTCGCTTATTGCTTTAATCTGCGCCTGCGTTGTAAGTAGCTGCTCCCGGTTAGCTCCATCATTAATTTGCTGCTGGTCTGCGTTAATCAGTCGCGTGATCTGGGAGCGAAGCGCTTTCATTTTCTTCGTTATCACTTTTTTGCTCATATTGAGGCGGTTAACAATGACTCCTTACTTGTCAATCGTTCATTCTGATGCTCGTACTGTCCACCGTGGTCTCGTCGCTCGATCCAGGTCAATCCTCTGCTCCTCCGCCGTTTTCTTCTCTGCTGCTCCGTGGCAGGTTGACCTTTCTTGCCGGCGAGGAGGTAGTATCCTGGTTCACGGCACCTTTATTAAGACGATCGAGACCAGGGACTGCTTCGAACGAATACGGTTTATTAGAAGAAGCGAAGTAGCGCGCGCTCGCTCCAGGCAGCAGTCTTCTTTCTTCTTCTTCCGGCGTTTGATGATGATATTTTGTATAGGTTCTTCGATTTGCTTGACGCGGTCAAGTGACCGGCGCTGGTCTTTTGGCACCTCAGGTAACAGTGTTGTGTTCATTGCCTTTTTGGAGGCACTGGATGGCCATGCATGAAGGCTGAACGTTCTCGTGCAAGACCTCACCTGGTGAGATTTGGTCCCAGTGCCCGACACTCATGGGCTCGCCGGGCTGTCTTGCGAGGTAGGTGGAGCAGGCTTAGCTACTTTCACCCGGGGGGCGGGCACAACAGCTGGCTCGCTACGTACGGGCCGAGCGAATGGTGAAGGCCAATGCGACGTTGTCCCCTGGCGCGCCACTTCAGCGTAAGGCGAACCGTGGAATGCAGAGCATCTCCTTCGGGCCACTTAGAAGGAAATATTTTCTTTGACTTTCAGGGTGATGATCTCCTTCTCTTTTCTCCATTGTGGATAAGATGTTGAATATGAAGCGTGCAATTCATGGGAATTTATACACTGGGGAGTGTCATTGCAGTTGTCGGAGGAGGCGCCTTGAACTCCACATTTGGCAAAAGTGAGTTTACCACGACAGCTCCTGGATCCATGGCCCAAACTTTGGCATTGATAATACCTCCTCGGATTTGGTATGTACGGTCTTTCTGTTAAGTAGCCTGTCTCAACTATCTGAGGTCGATCACTGGTCGAAAAGGTAAGAATGAGATGTTTTGTCAGAGTTTCTTTGTTGTCACGCCTTATTTCGAGTCTTTGCACATTGGTCACATTTTGGTGTGCCCTCTCTCCAAGATTTCGACCTCAGCCAGGTGAAGAAGGTCTGCGTCAGAGATAACTCCCCGCGACACGTTTATAGATTGGTGTGAGGTAACTAGAACGAGTGTTTCTTCTTGCGTCTTAAGGCTGCTGAGCTTACAGTACTGCTCGTTGTCTTGGACCTCAAGCAGGAGGTCTCCGCTGGACATTCTAGTGATCTTATATTCTGCTGTTAGATTATCGGTCAACGACATTAAGAGAACAAACGGAAAGATGACTCGTGCAGGTACATCTGCTCTATTACTTTGTATGACATGAAAACGCGGAAAAGTTTCTATTGGTTCACAGAAGTGCTTCACGATATGATTAGTGCGCACCCTCTTCGAAAGGTGTCGATCAAGTAGATTGGAAAACGAAGGTGTTCCCGTAACAATATTGATTCAATCGGCAGCGATGGCAGCCACCCTCCTCGGAGCCCAACTAGGGAGTATTGCAGAGCTTAAAGTGTAAAGCTGATGACGTCAGCCGTACATTGCTGCTATAACCTAATACATGATGCCCAAGGCAGGACACATACACAAGGTTAACCCTAGCGACCAGAAATTCAGAAGTAAATAGAAAAGAGCAGAAGATAAAAATAATAAAGTTCGAGAAAGACAAAGATGAGGGGAGAAAGAGGAAAAGGTCACTGCCGCTTTTCCCTGAGTGGGTCAGCCCAGCAGTGCCGTCTACGTGAAGCCAGGACCAAAGATGTGTATTGCCTCGGCCGGGGTTCCCTAAAGAACTAATCACCCGACGTCAGCTCAAACCCTAGGTTACCGTTTTCCCCCAGGCACGGCTTTGCCACGCACGGTGAAGCGTGGGAGGCAGTTGAAACCACCCCGTTAACTCGGGTCCGTGGTGTCGCTACACACCAAGCGCCTGCTTGCGCAGACGTCCTTGCGGAGCATTATTGATAATTGAAGAGTTTCTTGAGTAGGGTTCTTTTCTACCGACTCACAGAGCGGCCATGGCAAGTAATTTGGATGCCTGACCACCAACCTAAAATGGTCTTCCTTAGTCTTGGCGGCCTTTACTAATTCCGCGTCATGCCTTTCGTTCTTTCCAACGAACACGCATTGCTCGATTGAATGATGGACAACGTTTGAAGTGGCCTTGGGTTCAAAACGTTTATGTGTTTCTTAAATGACTTGGTCAAGCTTTCACCAGATTTTGCTCCATGTCTCTGCAGCCTTCAATGACGTTATCTGTGCTCACCTTGCCTCCACAAATTTAGCGATTTGTGGAGCAAGCATTGCTGCAAGAAGAAGCCTGGAAATGTTGATGTTAAGGAAGGGCTATTAAAATTTGTAAAGGCGATTATTACCCAATTGACGTTATAATGAAGTTCGAGGTGCCTTCAGAGGACGGCCACCATGCGGGAAACTGGTTGCACATAAAATGCGAGAAAAAATTATCAGCTTCAGTCAACGTTTGTCTGAAGCAGTGCCTACATTTCTGTGTCAAATTCAGCACGCCGTAAGGGCAGCGTACTTATTTATTTACGAGACAAATAATTGACTGAGGGAAAGAGGCGAACTTCTCAATCAGTTGGCGTGAGAAGTGAGGAGGTTTTGTCAGCCGGTAATCTTCAAACCATATGCCAGTGCATGTCGGGCAACCCGTACTGTGGACACCGCAGGAATACCACACAGCTGCAAAAACAACAAGAGAATGTCATCGAGCCAGACAGACCAGTTAGCTAACGTGTGTTGTTGTGAGGTCGCATTCACCGTGTTAGCAATTGTACAAGCAGTTGTGTTTTCGTTTTTCCTTCAGTTTGATTCGGCTAATTTCAACATCTTTGTTTAGTGCACTTGTGCCTTCCAATCACGTCAAACCTGCATTGCAGCTAAATGGACATATCACTATAGCCGGTATTAAGGAGGAAGCGTTGCACAACAGCACACATACACAAGCGCATAAAAAACACAAAAACAGACACACCCACAAAAAACGAAGGCACACAGAAGAACACGCGCACATACACAAACACACACACAGGGAAGCACAAATGCACACAAGCGCACGAAGACACAATTGCTCACACAAATACACACACGTTTAAACACAAACTTACACACCAACTTCAATATGCAGACGCGCACACACTAACCCAACTACATACATCATGACACAGTGAAACAAACAAACAGTAAGGACGAACACATGCACGAACCACACAAGCACAAGTTCAGAGAAACCACAAGAACGCATGCAAAACAACACACCATCACGCATGGAAGCCTGCCACTAGGAACGGGAGCGCGCTGTGAGAGGCGGATAGGTCTAACCAGTCGACCTCATTTACTCCGGTAGGTGAATGGCTGGTGCTAGTGCCGGAGAATAAGCAAGGGCCGCCAGAAAAAGAGTGAGATGGAAAAGAAGCACAGGGAGGTTCAACAGATGCACGTCTTACAGCTAACCTGCACTTAGGAGAGGGAAAAGTTTGGGAGAGCAGATTTATTCTACAGGTGGTAAGTTGGATTTCTTGAACTCGGGTACTTCAAAAGCGATTTGGTTTCTTGCTGTTCTATCGAGTCAAACATCGGGGTCCCAGAGTCGTCCTAAGCCATCAAAACTGCTGTAGTCATAATGAACCTTCGCATACGTCATCAAAATATAGTGCCACAGTTATTGGTCCTTTGGTTTTGCCTGGTAGCCATCTACCACCCTGCCTAACGTAGTTGCCCTTTAGTTCTCAATGATTTTTGATTTATTCATTGCCGTGCAAAAATCAAAACTCCGACAAGATGACTTAAGGTTCATTGAGTAGAGGCACAAGGAACACAGAAAAAGTATTTCGGGGTTTTCTATTTATGATTACCGAAGTACTACGCTGGCTACAGCTTTAAAACACGAGCACTCGCCTCTGAACCTGGCTAATTGGTTATATGACAAAAATTGAAGCTGATAGTTTGACCTAGCACAATCATCAGCTTTGTCGAGACTTTCTCATTCTCATGTCCCGAAAATTTTCCAGAAGAATCACCTCCACTGCCATCATTAAATAAATCAAATTTATTAAAGCATAGTTCGTAATGCCTGACCTCAATAAATGGTGGTGTTCTAAAAAACCTTTCTTCCGCGCAGTTGGCGTGCACCCACTAGGTGGATAATAAATAAAAAAATATTTTTTGGAAGCTGGGGTTTGAACACGAGTCTGCACAATCCGAAGGCGCATGCCTTGTACACCTAAAACAAGCACCCGCGCTTGTCCAATGTGAACAAGTAAAGATTGAGCGTGAAACAATCAGTGTTGCGTGCGAAAGCGCTAACGATCTAAAAAAAAAGAATTGCGAAGCAGTACGCATCACTGAGGATGTATCCCAGCAATATTTCGTATTCCCAATGAAAAAGTATCTTCTGCACAAAACACAAATTTGACATCACATAATACACATTTCAGGAAAATTAGATTTAGAATAAATTAGCTTTATAAAGACATTTTGAACGATGGCGTGACGATCATTTTGTAGTACCGCTCAACAGGCTCACAAATGCTGGAAATAAACATGACAGATGCCACTTCAATTGAGCCTAAAACAGCGTTCCGTGAAGGGTCGCTACGCATTATTTTATTTATTTATTTATTTAACAATACTGCCAATCTCATCAGAGATTATAGCAGGGAAGGCATATGAAAACGAATATTTGTTTACACAGATACATATTGATAGAAAACACAAAAAAAGCTGGTATTAGAAAATGACATACAAATCATAGGTTATACATTGCCGTTAAAGAACACGCAATCAAACAATTTTAGTGATAGGAAAACAAAATCATAAACTAGGTTATCGTTTAAAACGACCACGAAAAGATAATGCACGCATTTGTAATATGGGGTAGGGAAAACAAGTAGGCATTTTTATTGAACAACTTATTCAAATAATTTTACTAACAATAAACTAATCGAAAAACATGTCACTTGAAAATAACAATCATAAAAAACAAAACGTTTGTATCAGGAATATGACACTGACTCGTTTATTTTGTATATTGATGATGTGATGTTAGTGCGATTTGCGAGGCAAGCAATTCGCTTTCAATCGCAGCTGTAAACAAGTTTATGGATGATTCAGTGCTTAAGGTGGGTTTCAGCAAGTTTCAATCTTTAATAGTTAGCGGAAAAAATGAGTATTTAAAGCAATTAGTGTTAAAAGAGTATTCTACAAGAGTATGGGTGATTATGACGGGTTGGTCTGCCATGAAAAAACGATAGATACCTTGAGGTATCTATTTTCATTATGTTGTGGAGTAATTGAAACGTTAGCTTTAGTTTTGTTAGTTTTGTTCGCTTTTGTAGTGTTAAAATGCCAGCGTTATTGAGTAGATGCGTCGGCGAGTCCGTCAGTCTATACTTGCTAAAAATAAACCTTATTGCTTTTCTTTGAACCGCTTCTACTTACTAATCTGTTGGTGGGTATAGAGGAACCAGACAGGGCTGGCATAAACTAATACAGATCTGACGAGGAAAAGAAAGAAGCAATGTGACAGACCCACCACTTTAAACATCGCCTGCAAACACTTTTCTGACAGGCTAGGGCTCTGGTTTTGAAGGACGATAGCCTTTCATGGGATATTTCAAACAGTGAAGTTTATTGCGTACCAGTAACAGCACTTTAAATTATTACACTGTCCGGTTTAACAAAATTAACTTTGCGGTGTAACAAAATTACTTCAGTGGCAGGTACAAACAAGAGAGCATAGACATGATTCTTTTTAAAGCACTGCAATATTCCCACTCGTCACGGATCATTAAAGGAAACAAAGAGAAAAGCAACGCAATAATTTTGACCTCCCTGTTGATGTCTGTCCAACGATTTAGCCCCCCACCCCCCAGTGAAAGCTTAAACTTATACTTAACGCCCACTCACCTTGATCTGGTGGCTGCGTGTGAACGTTGTGAATCAAAAAGGAAATATCACACATTGAATGCATCACATCAATACGCAAGTGTTAGGCAGTGTGTCTTTTTTTTAGAAAACGCATAGACACGTAATTCTAAGCGCTGAAATGTTCATTACATTCGCTGGCAATACGATGTTATGAACGAAGAAGAGGGGCTTTTTCTACGGTTTGCTAGAAAATTCAGGAGCTTTAAAGGGGCCCTGCCGTCCTTTTTGATCATGGTCGGTAAACGTGGTTGATCGGTTGGGGAGGCTCCCGATAACAAGCGAGCCAAATATCATAGCGCCGCACGTGGACTGATTTCCATAGTAAATTATCAAAGTCAGCAAAAATTGCTTTCTCTTCTCTTTACAAATGACAGGAGAAGCTCAAAACTCACTCGTACAAGGCCATCTATCAGATACTAGGTGATTTGAGCATGGCGAAGCTTGGTCGGTACAGGAATCACCGCGGGAGGCCACGACTTGTTCATGTATGTGCGTGATCCAAGGAGGCTTAAGTACTATTTGCTGGAGTAAAGGAAGCGACCCACAGGTGTAGCCACGCACCGCCATTTAGCCATAGGCAGAAAGCGCACCATTCACAACTCAAGCCACTGCGGGCGCACAGATGTTCTTCATGTTCACCCGTGTTGTAGCGACCGGGCCTTGTAATGGATACACCATGCCTTTCTTAAGGATACCTAGGTGAAGGGAAAAGGTGTTCTGGGATAATGTTTCAGTTGTGAGTATCGTATTTCGAGCTTGATGAAAACTGTGTGCAGGAACACATGCATGTTGATAGCTCTCAACCTGTCTTCACATATCTCACAGTCATTCTTTTTTTTTCCTAACGGGTTTCGCAAAGACCCAAATGTTCGAACCGCTTCGGGGCATGCTGTGAACACTTGTATCATTAGATGACGGGATGACTGGTAGCGAAAATAGAGCGATCACATATGTTAGAGGAAGTTGTCGAATTGTTACAACCGGACTGGACTGTGACTTCAAGGTGTGTGGCTGGGCTAGATGCAATTCTGAAACACCTTGGATATCGACTGATACGCATCCTTGTACTTGTGGATACTACTAGAGTGGTAAGCGAGTTGGAAAATAACACGAGTTAACTATTCGTTGAAAGTAAATAGGCGTCTTCGACATTTCGTGATTGATTACTGGCAGGGGTGTAGCCAGAATAGCTCACAATGCACGACACAGATGAGGTGAGTGCGCTGTGAGCTATTTTGAATCTTCGCCAACTAGCCCGGTCATAAACCTTGCGTAGCCAAGATTTTTTCGAGAAGAGGACACTTCGTTATTTTCGGGGAGGGTAACCCCTTGAAATGACCATGTTTCGCTCTCTATGCCATGACGAAAAAAAATCGGGAAGACAGAGGAAAGGGGGGGGGGGGCATGGGCCTGGGGTGCTAATCCCTGCCTACGCGCTTGCTTCTTAGTTGCGTTAATTAGAAGCTTAACTCGCTACCACGAGGGTAGTTAACATTGTTTGGGCAACACAAAAGGACCTGTCTTTTTTTACATTCGCGCCTTTTATACAGTTATTGCAAGTGCAGCGAGCAAAAACCAGTGTCTGAACTGTGCAATGTTTGTAATGCAACTAACTGCAAATAAATCGACCATAACTGAGGGATACTCGTGCCGTTATATGTATTCAACTTGAAGTTGTGAGATTGGCATTCGCTACATGGCAGTTCTCACAAAAAAAAATAGTTCATGTTCCTAAGCGTAGCTAAAACAGCTCC